CGCTGCAGCTAGCTGTCAAGCCCTGGCTAGCTAGACGGCCACCCAGGGAGGCAGCTAGCCGCCTTCCCCGCTCCCTGGCCAGCTGCCCACTTCACCAGCTACCTAGCTAGCTAGCCAGCTAGCTAGCTAGGTAGCTAGCTATCTAGCTAGCTATCTAGCTAGCTATCTAGCTAGCTATCTAGCTAGCTACCTAGCTACATGGCTGGCTGGGCCCTAGGGCACCTTTTAGGGGCCCCCTAGGGCCCCGTTTGGGGCCATAGGGGGCCCCCGTGGGGGCCCTTTGCTGCTGCAGCAGGAAGGATTGCTGTGGGGTCCGTTGGGTTGTGTTCTATGGCGGCACTAGGGTTTAGGGTTTAGGGTTTGGAGGCTGAAGAAGCATGCGTAGAAAGCTGCTGAGCTTATTGGGGCGTTCAAAGCAGAGAGGTAAAACTAAACCCTAAACCCTAAATCCTAAACCCTAAGCCCTAAACCCTTAACGCCAAACCCTAGGCCCTAAGCCCTAAACCCTAAACCCTGAAACCTAGATATTGAGTCAAACCCAAGCAGTTCGAAACAAGCCAAAGGAGACAAGGAGGATAAAGGAGACAGCCCTGGAGGCTCTAAGCACCCCAGGCGGACACGCCCCAACTAGCTAGCTAGCTAGCTAGCCAGGCAGCTAGTTGGCTAGCTAGCTAGCTGGCTAGCTAGCTAGCTGTCCAGCTACATAAGTAACTGCCCACACATTGCACGCCCCAGCTAGCTATCTGGCTAGCTGGCTGGCTAGCCAGCTAGCCAGACAGCTAGCTAGCCAGCTAGCAAGCCAGTCAGCTAGCCAGCTAGCTAGCCAGCTAGCTAGCCAGTTAAGGCGTCCTGAATTCGCGACTTCACAGTGGCAGTGTCCTTATAAATCCGAGCACACAAAAGCTAAATGTGCATGGCTAGCTAGCTAGCCAGCGACTCAAACGGGCTAGCTAGCTACCTGGCTAGCTAGCTAGCTACCTAGCTAGCTAGTTAGCTACCTGGCTAGCTGACTAGCTAGCTACCTGTTTGGCTAGCTAGCCAGCTACCTGGCTGGCTAGCCAGCTAGCTATCTGGCTAGCTAGCTAGCTGGCTTCCTGGCTAGCTAGCTAGCTAGCTAGCAAAGGGGCTAGCTAGGCTGGAAGCCCAGCCTGTGATAAATATTACATTGAAGCAAACTCCAAAAAGGGCCGAAAAGGGGGACTAAACCCTAAACCCCAAACCCTAAACCTCTGACTAAAAAGAGGTCCTCGCCAGCGCGCGTGGGTTTAGAGCTTACTCCACGATGCGAAGGTCCTCGAATCGCCCTTCAGGGCCGTAGGCAATCTGCGCAGCTCCAACAAACCGTAAACCCTAAACCCTAAACCCTAAACCCTAAACAGCAAACTGCACCAACCGTCCTAGCGCCGTGGTCTTGGCCTGTCCACTGCGACTTCAGCGGCTAGAGCTCAGGGTTTAGGGTTTAGGGTTTAGGGATTATGACTTAGAGCTCAGGACCTTGACTTCAGGGTTTAGGGTTTAGGGTTTAGGGTTTGGGTACCTTTGCTTTGTTGTAAACTCTCTGAAGAGCCTCGCAGTACCGCTGACGAAGCTGCAAACGGAACCCACAACGCAACCCCTAAACCCTAAACCCTAAATCCTAAACCCTAAACCCTTTACCCTAAACCCTAGTCCCACAATGAAATCCCCGGCTCTGCTAGCTACCCAGCTAACTAGCTAGCTAGCTAACTACCCAGCCAGCTAGCTGGGTAGCTAGGGTTTAGGGTTTAGGGTTTAGCGTTTAGCTAGCTAGCTAACTACCCAACCACCTGGCTACCCAGCTAGCTAGCTAGCTAGCTAGCCAGCTAGATGCCTACCCAGCTAGTTGGCCTACCAGCTAGCTAGCTAGGTAGGTAGCTAGCCATCTAGCTAGCCAGTCAGCTGCCCGCCCAGCTAACTGGCCTACCAGCTAGCTTGCTAGCTAGCTACTCAGCTAGCTAGCTATCTAGCTAGCTAGCTAGCTAACTAACTAACCTCGTCTATGTCCTTCTGAGTAGGGTTTGGGATGCGTTTGCAAGGAATGGGGTCTCCAACAACTTCGAGGATCTTCACCCTCTTGGGCATCGTCAGTTGCAGCAAGCCGCGCCCTAGCCACAAACCCTAAACCCTAAACCCTAAACCCTACACCCTAAACCCTAAACCCTAAGCTCTTACTTCTAGCACCCGCAGCCAGTCAGGCCGCCCCTTCGGCCTTCAGGCGCCACGCGTTGCGCAGCTCCGCAAACCAAGTGTCTAGGGTTTAGGGTTTAGGGTTTAGGGTTTAGGGTTTATCACCGTAGCAAAGGGGCAACGAGAAGCCAAACAACGCCATTGTCTTCCGAGACACAAACTGCAAAGAACGGCAAATTAAATTGTCTCCTTTTATCTTTTCGTACATTTCGTTCTCCCCCAGCGAAAACACCTGCGCCAAACCGTCAACCCTAAACCCTAAACCCTAAACCCTAAACCCTAAACCCTGAAGCGTCTCTAGGCGTCTGCTGCGGCGCCCCTGGCGCGAGCGGCCTTCACTAGGACCGCCTCACTAGCGCCTCTCTGCCTCGCGCAAACTACGGCTTAGGGTTCAGGCGTAGGGTTTAGGGTTTAGGGTTTAGGGTTTACGGGGACAAGGGAAGAGCCCGTTTGCAAAGCAATTTCGAAAAAACCCTTCCGCCGCTGCAGCACCAAATCGTTGCGGCCAGGGGCCCCCAAAAGGGCCTCTTTGGCTCCGCCCACGATGACCAGCACGGCCCGCCCAGGGCCCCTGCAGCGCCAAACCCTAAACCCTAAACCCTAAACCCTAAATCCTAAACCCTGGACCTAAGCGCTGGGCTCTGGGCGCTTTGATCGAAGCAGGCAGAGTCAGCAGCAGCAGCCGCTGCACTACAGGCAACAGACAGGCAACTAACTCTGCCGCGGAACAGCCTCTAGGGTTTAGGGTTTAGGGTTTAGGGTTTAGGGTTTACCCGGTTAGAAACCCCCTGATGGTTTCTTTGCTGCTGTTCATAAAGCCAACAGCTTGCAGCAAATGGCCCCAAAAGGGCAGCCGCATATTAATGGCAATTGTGGTTAGCCGAATGTCAATCCCTGAGCCACAAACCCTAAACCCTAAACCCCAAACCCTAAACCCTAAACCCTAAAGCTTTCAATAATCAAATTAGCTGCCGAGAATAATGTTCTTGTCCCCCTCAAACGCCATCTCCGGCAGCAACAGCAACGTCAGCGGCAACAGCAGCAGCAATAGCAGGACCAACCAC